ACTTCAAATAATACCTGGAGGAGCTCTAAGAATGTGATCATTTCAATTCACTGTATTCTTCAATTGATAAATTTATTCCTGAATACCCAGGAATTCTATCCACAAAACATTTAATTTAAAAAGTATACCATGGGATGTCCCATAACATTCCAGTTGCTTGGAAACACCACAATAAATTGAATTAATGGGTCACATTTCCCTTCCCTGCCACACATAGCATTGGCACATCCTTACCAGATGTGGCCAGGGGTGAAAATGCATAGTTAAAAATAAGGATGCAATAAAATAAATCAGCATGAACAATAGATGAAACTAATCATCAGTCATACAATGAGCATTCTGAAACATATGCATACAAAAGAAAATTGAGGGTGAAAGGGAAGCAATGTCTGAAGGAATTATCTTTTATTGACATGTATTAAAATAGCAGCCCAGTGGTTAAAAAACATGTCTTTTACATAAAGAAAGGGTGTTTCACCCCATGGCAAGCAAGCAAGCAAGCAAGCAAGCAAGCAAACAAGCAAGCAAGCAAGCAAGCAAACAAGCAAGCAAGCAAGCAAGCAATAAATAAATAAATAAATAAATAAATAAATGCGGCATTAATTTCTCACAAAATCAGGCAGATCTTAGAAAGTTCTTCCCTTAAAACCAAGGGCAGAACTGTTCATTCAGTCTAGTCCCCAGAATGCTTTCACAGATGGCAGGCTGAGGCTGCAATCTAAATTGGGAGACCGATGCTGGAGAAACGGCGGTTCTTAACCTTTTCTGCTTGCATTGTGCTCTTCCTGAAACTCCCTCATCTTCCAACTGGCATTTCTTCCTCAAATGAAATAAAGTGAAATAAAAGTAGCTTCCTTCTGTAATAAGAATTGTGGAACTATACATAAAATCTAGTTCAGCTTTCAGTCCCTGTTTTTCACAGGTGATTTACCATAAGGGCATGGGTAGCTAAATAGTACTAAAACACTAATAGTACTAAAACAATCCCCTAGACTAGTATTAGATGGCATTAGCTGCACTTTTCCAAAGAATCACTAAAGGGGAAACACAGTGAGAATTAAGTGAAAAATAATGACTCTAAGATTACAGCCCTATAAATGCCTTCTTAGAAGGAGACCCCCTGGATCTAGTGAGATTTCCTCTCTTTCCTATAACATATGGTGTAGGAATGCAGCCTAAATAGAGACTTTAGGTCTATTCTTTGACACTATAATCCCATCTTAAACCATTCCTATAGCACATGTAGTTTATGTGAGACCAGAGATGCTATTTGCAGTCATACATCTGCAACTCACACGACTTCGGACCAACAACAACAATTTGCAACTCCAGTGGTAAAGTTTGAAGTGCAAGCCCAAAAAAGCAGGCAGCATTTTCTCCTGTAGCAGAACCTGGTCTTTTGAAAAGCTATTTTACTTGCCCCTTCAGGACCACTCCTCCTGTCTCTTGTGTTCAAGAAGGATAGTTGACAGGTATGCTAAGGAAACTCATTTTCCTACCTACTCAGTTGCAGTGAGGGTTTCAGTTAGGCTCAGAGGGAATAGGGAATTCTGAAGGAGGTGGCCAATGACCCCAGTGGTCCTGCTAATCAACAAGTGCCAGTGCTGCATTCCTGAGAGCCTTGGATCCAGTATACCAAGGATCCTCACCTCTCTCCTAAGAAAATCAGGGGTGTGTGTACTTTTTAAACTACATTTTGTCCTTGCAACAGATAAGTTGGGTTACACATGCCTGCCCCATGGCTATTCATAAAACAAATGCATAAGCTTCTCTTTCTGGAGAAAGCATTGCTTTATGATTGAATTGTGTGTCTGTCTGTCTGTCCCCCATGGCCAAATAAGACTTTGAATCCTCCAAAATGGTAGCTGCACCTGATGCAGGAAGGGGATGCTGTTTGGTCGGTATATGAGGCTCGATTCCTGGCATGTGCCCCATGACCGCAGAGAGTGCCTGCCAGGAACTCAGACGTAGGGCTGCTCCAAAGTAGACAGGAATCCAGGGAGCTGAGCCCAGGGCATCCCACCCCAAGCGGATTTCTCACATAGCCCCAGTTCAGAGATCATTGAAAATCATAGCTTGACCTAAACTCTTCTAGAATGTAAACCATGGTTTAAATTTACTAAAGTACAATGGGCAGATTATGGTTGTTTGCTTTTTGTTTTCCATTCTCTTGACATTCATCTTTATGAGGTAAATTTGTGTCTATGCTATGGCACACTCTACAGGTGGAGTGATGGCTGCAGTTGTGTTTTGTCAGTTATGACATTATGCTGAATTACAGTGAGCATAAACTATGGTTTTCAAATCCATTTCCTGGTTTCTGATTCTTGTTTGCCAGGTGATAGTAAATCCTGGTTTGCAAGTTTAAAACATGACTCTAAACCAGGGTAAGGCAAATTGTTGTCCTTCAAATGTTTTGAGCTACAGTTCACCATTGATTATGCTGGCTAGGACTGATGGGAGTTGGAGGTCAAAATATCTCATGGGCGACAAATTGCTCGCCCCTGCACTCAACCATAGTTAATGTTTCTTAAGCATTTGACAATGGCATCTGCACTTTCTATAATGAAATTTGTATAATTCAATTTCTATAATGAATGCAGTCATAATATTATTCTTTCTCCATCCGGTTCAAGATGCAGACTTCAACCTCACACTGGAACATAATAAGAATTAATGTAGCAATGCTTTTCAACTCCCTCGGTGTTGTCCTTCACAGCTCCATTGTGTTTCACCTACCACAGACATACTTTTCACCCCATGTAATCAGGAGTCATCAGTGCGGCTGGGAAGAATACACATGATAAGCTTAGCACTTAATAATCATTGGAGCCAGTCATGTGAATCTCCCCTAAGTATTCATCTCTGAAAAGTTCAAATTAGGGTCATGGGAATGTGCAGAAGCCCGAGTCAGTGGCTCTGTTTTGAAGGGTGGAAGCGTTGAAGTGTTCAGTGTTCTCACTCTGATCTGGAAGTTGGTAGTTCAAAAGTAATCATGCAAGAATTGAAGCTTTAATATGTGGATACTATTCATTAATTGATTTTTTAAAAAAACTAAAGAGCTTTTCTTTCCCTTCAAAGTTCCATTCCAAGCACTTCAGTGCATGTTTAGATTTTAAACACACCAGGTTTCATAGCTCATCTTCACAGTGCGCAAGAGGTTGTGGGTTTGCTATGATTTGCAGTTAAGTTTTAGGGTCAAATCTGCATGCAAATATGTGTGACTCATTGACTAAATGCCATTATATCATTTTATTTATTTTATTTATTCACTTTATTTCATTAAATAAAGAAGCAAGTAACTTTATGAGGAGCCATTGTGAAATGGAGGAGGAGGAGAAGTGCCTAACCTTTCTCCCCATGCATCACTTCATATTGTCCCTTAAACCCTCCCTCTTGATGGGTGGGGGTGTTCTAATGGCCTCACTGGGATTCTGTGCCTGGCTTTAACGTTCTGTTCCCCTATGACTCCCAGAAGCCATTTTTCAGCCTTGGGATGGTGCTTCAGGAGCTGCCCTGCCTTCCTAGATTCGACTGGAAGACCAAAACTGCCCCTCTTCCCCTTGATATGTTAAAACCTGGGCAACCAAATCAAGCTTTGCATTGTCAGCTCCATCTTGAGGAGGAAGGTCTGAAGGGGGTGGGGGGGGCGGTATTTGGCTCATACAGTTTTCCCAGTAACAGTTTGCAGCCTGTTCAGTTCAGGATTCCCAGCCATGGGGAGGATTCCAGGCACATTGGGCCAAACATGTGAAAAAAGCCCCCTTCAGACTTTTCTGTTCCATGTGAGAAGGTTGGCGGGCAGGGTGGGACCAAGAGTGAAAGGGCTGTTGAAGTGGGGTAAGGAGCACTTGCCGCCCTATTGCTCCAACTTTTATTCCCACACATGTTCTTTGAATGCCTGAAATAGAGTGCAGGAATGCCAGAGCATAGAAATAACAGCACCAAAATGACTACAGGAATCAAATGAAGATTTCTTCTGCAGCCCTGAACATCTGTTGCTCTTTGGGTGGTCATTTGGACACTGGCTGGACATTGGCTCCAAGCCACACCACTAAATACACTCAGTTGCTGGTTGGAAGGTAGAACCCTATCCTTGTTTAACTCTGCCTATCTGCTCCAGGGTAAGGCACCATGCCAAAGTTCTGGAATGTCCTCCAAAAGTCCCAGGACCTGAACAGCCATTGCTTTAAGTCTGTCTAGCACCAATGTCCCATGCTCATTTTTACTCTAGAGCAGAAAACCTGATCCAGATAATTAAATTCTCCTAACCCCATGCTACACTACCATTCGAAATTGGATGCCTGCACCTGCACTAGGATAAAAATGAAAGGAAGATGTACCTGCTAGGCACACAATTAACATAACATCTGCTTTTGTTCCCAGGGAACAGAAATTCATGTTAAGAAATTTTAGATTTTTCCTTCCTCCACTTCTTAAGATGGAACTAGATAAGTTTAAGCATCAGGTTGTTGTGTGAATAGAAGCCCCATACTAAGCTTCTCCTCTCTGTTTATACAGCCTTGCTTATCAAGATTCCACATCCTTGTCAGTAGCAGCCAGTACTATGGTTCAGGGAACAGAGATATGTAGCAGATTATGATGCCATGAGATGCCTAAGTATTACAGGGTGGGTGGGGGAGAACACAGAATAGAAGGCTGAATCACATACTTTCACAGTGTTGTTGGCTCGTCTAATCTGGAAGTGAGCTGGTTTCCACTCCAATGCCTGATGCAAAGGTTTTCAGAGAGGTTCTGAAATGCAAGAGTGTTGCACACACAGAGAATCGTGGCCAATGGCAACTTCCAGGTTTTTCTGTTCTAGAAGTTCAGGTTTTATGGAACCCTAAGTCTTTTTCTGTCTCAGTGGCCAAAATGTGACATAGGTTGCCATTTTCAACAGCAGTCCCATGTGAAATGCCATTTCTGATTTCAGTCCTTTATTTCTGTATGCAAATTTTTTCTTTTTCTTGCTTTTTTACAAATACATTCTTACCAAGCAAAGAACCGTGGAATTGCAATTCCAGTGGACTTGGACAGCCAGGTGAATACACTGTTCATGAAGAGTCACTCCAATATGGTTCAGAGAGCAGCTATGGGCTGGAGAATGTCTGCCCGCAGTGGTCCTCGTTTGAAAGAGGCCCTTGGAGGACCTGCCTGGGATTACAGGAACATCATTGAGAAACTACAGGTGTGTTAATGCTGCCAACGGTTGGTTTAAAAAAAGCATTGAGGACATAGTGCTTAGGACTGGGTTCCCAGGAATCTCACACAGTGAAATGTGGGTTCCATCCCCAAAATTCTTTGGCCAATTGAGCACTCAGTTGACTCTTCTGCAAGGGAGGTCAAGAGTTTTCTGGATTGTACTGTGCCTCTCTGTTGTTGCTTATGTCAGAAAGGGTCATGGCATTCTACTGTGCTTGAGCAAGTTCATATCATATCATATAATATATCATATCATATATTGTATCATATCTACTGCTCATATCTACTGCTTCCCTGCTTCATGAAAGAACAAGAATTCTGATGATGGCGGTCCGGTGCCCTTCCATGATTAAAGAGAAGGAAGAACTTGTTTTGAACATGTGTGGGATGGTTGTGGGAAGGTAGTGCAGAGCACCATAGAAAGAGAGAAGTGGTGAAAGAGTTACATTGCTCCTCATCTCTTCACTTTGTGCTCCTACTTTGGGTGGATTCTCACACTTTGGTTTGGGAGACCCAAGTGCCGAATGCAACATTTATGTTCCAGCCTTTCTTTATGAGGACTACTGCCCAAAGCATTTGTGTGGCAGTGCAGGAATAGTGTCCTCTTGTATAAATACATCCTTACTTATCTATGGTGATATATCAGCATATTGCCTTGGACTGAAAGACTTCATCAACAGAAGGCCTTACTTTGTCAGAATAAGATTCTTGCTGTCAGAAGAGGATCTTTCTTTCCATCCCATTATGTTCTTTACTAAATTCTGCATATTAACAATATAGGGTAATGTCCTGTAACATGGATTGTGTCGAATTTCCTCTAGTCACTGGATGAAGTTCACAGCCTGCCTCAGTGTTTTATGTTGCATATGTACCACTATTCTCATTTTGTCAGCCCAGTTTCATTACTAAGACTCAGAAAATGATGAAAAATAAGTATTTGTTTTTCAGTGTGATTTGCAAGCTAGTAATGAATGCTATTCAGACACCTAGTCCCAGCTAAATCTCACCTAGTTGTGACATCTTCTTGGTGCTTTATTCTTTAGGATGTGGTTGCCTCCCTCGAGCAGCAATTCAGCCCTATGATGCAGGCTGAATTTTCAGTGTTGGTTGATGTACTGCATAGCCCTGAACTCCTGTTTCCTGAAGGAAGTGATGCTAGAATCAGATGTGGGGCTTTCATGTCTAAGTAAGTACCTGAAGCAACTTTCTCTGGGGCATTTATTCAGAACACCCCCCCCCCAAGCCCCCTATATTCCACTGCTTGTTTTCTGGCTCATAAGCCCCCAAAATGGAGAGAGAAAGGTCACCACCCATGTTAGAGCCTTTTAAAAATCCATCTATAATATCTCTCTCTCTCTCTCTCTCTCCTATTTCTATTTATATACCAACTTTCATTTTTAAAAAAAATCCAGGGCCTGTAAGAGCAGCACTAAAATATCTAATAGTAGAATAATTATATAGAAATAAATGCAGATAAATAGATAATGATCGCTAACATTTTTGTATCACCTTATTTGTTAGAAAGTCATCCAGTCGTATTTAAACAGTACAGAAACAGGTATCAATAGATAAACAAATCATTCAATCCAATGCAGAGCTAGCTAGCCATATATGCCTGGGTGAACAAATTAGCCTGGCATCAAAATGATGGCAGGTTTGGTGCCAGATGTACTTCTTGGGTGAGGGAATTACAAAGTTGAGGCACCACCAAAATGATGGTCTTATATCACTGCTTGATGTACTCTCCTAAGTGGTGGGTCAATGGGTATGTCAGTGAATTGGGAAACTGGTGCTTATCTTCCTCTTGAATCTATAAGATGGCCAAGGCGTTTCCTTGCTTTTAAAACTTTCCTCAATGCTTTGTGTGCTGGTATGAGGCTTTCCACAGCCTACTGGCCTGGCTGCATTTCTCCTGAGGTGTCCTTGAGCACGGTGAATTCTTATACTATGGATTAGATTATATTCTTTGTTTAGATTAGGATTCTTAGATTATGGGATATCTCATGATTTCTGTTCTCATAATGTCATTCATGCATTGGGCATTCTACAAACTGCAGCTGGATTAAGAGGCTGCTGAGATCCTGACATTGCTACAAGCAGAGATGAGGTACTTCTTTTTAAGTCTGAAAAACAAAGATAAAAATTCTCTGAGCCATCTTGTGAGTTAAGAGGAAGGTGAGTACCAAATCTGCCACTGCTAAAAATTTATCGGAAGCTCCTTCCCACCCCCATATCCAAAGCCATCTTCATTCTGTCCTAAATGGCTCCAGAAAGCTCCCTCAGAATGACCCAGCTCTAGCTCAAGTTTCCTCTGCTGGTAGGAATGGCCCTTGCCTGCAGTGTGGCTCTGATTTGAATGTTTCCTACATGGGGCTGTGAAATGTCTCGCAGAAGGTGTAACTCGTGTTATGGACCTGTGGTAAAATCGAATGTTATGGAATTGTTTAACCTCAGCAGTGTTTAGTCTTGCTCAGGAGTGTCCAACCTCCTTTGGACACTGTGGGTTGAATGGCCACCCTGATCCTTCAGTTGGCTGGATGATGTCAGGGGTGTGGCCACAACTCCTGCATGTCCTTGTGCCCCAGCTTTGCCACATGCTCCATTTCCAGGCCGTATGTTAAGAACTTGAACGTGTATTATTCCTCTGCTTGAGTAGAAATACTCAGTTTTCCATAAGTGACCAAACCATTTTAAACTGTTTGTGCAGCCTGAAAAAAATCTTTTTTTTTTTTTTTTTGCAAATATGATGAACATATAAGTGGGTGGGAAGTCATCAGCAATGGACTGATCCGATAGACCTATCATTTGGTGTGATATTTTGTCTCATGGTTTATTTCAAGGTTGATAAATCATACAAAAAGGCTAATGGAGAAGGAAGAAAAACTCTGTATCAAAATTCTCCAGACTTTACGAGAAATGCTTGACAAGAAGGACAGTTTTGTGGAAGAGGTATGTCTGTTATATACTTCTAAAGGGCGAAAATATATTCCTTGTACAGTGTTATCGGTGGCATTTCAGCAGATTCTGTGCAAATCTAATGCAAGAAGAACAGTAAAATCCTTAGGTTCCCATTGTAGAGGGCTTTTCTGCCTGAGGCAATTTTTGTGCCATCCACAGTTGCAAAAATAAAAGACAAGTAGTCATGTTGTCATTATTATAGGGCTGGCATTTTGGGTGCCATGGTAGAGTAAGCCGGCATTCATGTTCACTCATCAGTGCATCACATATGACTTTAACAAGTGGAGTCCTGAAACAAAACATGCTCCTGTTCGGGGTTCTAGACACTCAGCAGTGCCCTTTTCAAGGGTACTCCATCCTGATCCCTTTCCTGCAAGACTGCCAATCCCCCACCCCATCAGTCAGCCAACAGTCTGCAGGCCCCCATCTTGTTCCCACCGCCCTGTTTTTCAATAGGGGTATTCTCCCTCTCAGGCCTCTGGACCCTTCCTTTGGGCATGCATGGTTCTGTTTATCAACACTTACAGAACTGAGGTCACTATTGTGATGAGTGAAATCAACTCTCAGCCCAAGAAACTGTTCGGGAAGATTTATTTCCTATTCTAAGATTTTGGCCTGCACTGTCATTCTGCCCCTCTTCCCCAGTTCTCACATTTATGACCTTTTGCATGGCTAGCATTGGCCAGTGGCTCTTGATATTATGCTTGTAGCATTCTGATGATATTGGGCTTTTCTACCCAATGTATTTATTGTGTGTTTGTGATTTGTGACTCAGGGTGGTTTGTGGGGGCTTTGCCAAACCATGGTGTTCTCTCCTGTACTTCTAAGCATTTACCCACAGTTTTTGGATAATGAGGCATTATTCAGCTGTCACGCTAAATTGTGCTAAAACATGATCACTATATTACTGCAGTTATGCTATACCACAGCACCACTTTATGGTTGTGTAACGGAACACATCAAAAGGCAGGGAAAATAACTGTGCAAAGGATGTGCTCTTCTCCTGCAAAGAAACTGGCACAAAAGACCTAGTAATTGCGGGGTTGAACACCTCATGTCGAGAAGGTCATTGCTTCTTGAAAAGTTCCTGGGTTTGGAAAATGAAAACACTCAGCTTTGGGACAATCAGATATTTTCAATGCATTTCTATTGCTATTGCTGCTGCAGATGGCGGCTTCTTGAAATTCCAGTATATATTATAATTGTTAGTATCTGATCCAGATTTAAGCTGGATCAACTGCACTCTGTGTGGGATATTTAACTGCATGGTACTTTGGGAGCTCATCTTGGAAGAAAAGTAGGGTATACATGCATAAATGATAAGATATATTCAACATGCATGTGCCATAACTAAATAGCAAAAGAAGACAGATCTTTGCTCCAAGGGACTTCTATGGTAAAATTCAGCACGACGCACAAAAGGAAAGGAGGGATGGCATATGGAGGGCAAGAATAGGCATAATGTGCTTGTTACTGAAAGGCCTCACTGTGTCTGGGAAATCCCTCCAGGAAGAGAGTTTCACAGTCCAGGTGCTATCATCCCAAAAGACCTATTTCCTTTGACAGCTAGCCTCAGTTCTGATGATGGTGGCACACTTCTCTGAGTGCCTCTTAACTCACGGGAGAGAGTGTGATACATTGAGAGCCAGTGTGGTGTGGGGGTGAGAATGCTGGACGTGGATCCCGGGAGATCTGGGTTCTAGCCCCACTTGACCATGGAGCTGGGGTGGCGGGGAGGGCTTCAGGCCAGTCACTCACACTCAGCTGAACCTACTTCACAGGGTTGTTCTTGTGAGGATAAAATGGAGATAGGTAAGCCACCTTAGGTTCCTCACTAGAGGAAAAAAGGTAGAATATAAATGCAATGTAATAATAGTAATATGTGAAGATGTTCTTTCCTAACAACACAAGCGTTCTGCTCTTATAAATGCACAGAACTGCAGTGGTGTATACCAGATTGTATGTGCAATTGCCACCATTCTACACAAGGCCACCAGGGCAGGTCTTTGCTCTCATTCTGGTGGTCAATCGCTATACCTTTCCAGTACATGGAAGTGTGTAGCCTGCTATAAAGTGGCTTTGATTCAACTAAGAAGAGCAGAAGTGCTTTTCACATTGTGTGCTGAAGCTACAGTGTGGGGAAGCCACTAGAGGGTGCAGGCTCCACAGCAAGAGGCATTTCATGTGTTACATTCAAGCATGTACATTGTGGGCCTAAGCCAAAGCACCTTAGATGACCCTCGTTGAAGGGGGAGATTGTGCTTGTTAATGCCTTTCAGAACAAGAATGATTTCTGCTTCATATTTAACTCCCTGAATTCTCCATTGGTGAAGCATAATTTGGATGCAAACATTGTGAATTACTGCTGCTTTTCACAAGTTTCCTGTCACATCCTAGTGATGTGAATCACAGTTTTCTTTAATGGAGTTTGACTGTGGTTAAGAATAGCTCATTAGATGGTCTTTTGTGTATCCTCTGCACTGTTTCCTGCTATATTACTTCATAACATAGCATACTTTGCACCAGAGGGTTACCAAGAGAAGCTGCCTGTTAAATTAATCTTAAATATGTATGTACATAATTTGAGCACAAGGGAATTGTGTGAACTTGAGCAATTATTTATCATAAAGAATAGAAACAGATTGAAAAGTGAATATTCTGAGATATTTCAAAAGCAGATAAAGCTATTTCTTCTTCTTTGTGTGAAACCAGTTTAATGTATATTGCTTTCCTAGCAAGTAAATCTTGACCACCTTGCACTCCAAGAGTCTGCAAAATGATAAGATAGGCTTCAAAGCTATGTGATTTTGTACATAATTAACTTCTCTGTTTATTTTAGCTTTAAGAATACAGGTGTTGATTTCATAAAAATCATATCTTGAAGCCTCTAATTCTGTGAACATTAAAAAAAATATTTGGAAAACTCCTAAAACCAAGGGACTTGAAATATAATTTCATAGCTTGACATCCTTGGAATGGCCATGCCTTAAAAATAGATGGTGATTAGAATAATTAAAAGGGATTTTGTTAAACTGCAAGTTCTTTTCATTGTTATATTAACCAAGTACCAGCTGGTGAATTCAGTACTGTTCTTATTCAGGTGTTGTTAGCTGAGTTGAATTACTGTTATTAGCTGTGTTTGGTAAGACTATAACAGCCTCCCCCAACCTGTTGCCCTCTGGACATGTTGTCCTACAACTCCTGTAATGATATAGCCAGTACAGCATAGCTGGTGATAGCATTTAGCCTCTGGCTCTGAAATTCCGCATCCCTAGTTTTTCAAAACAAATGAACAAATCCTGATCTTTTTTTAAAAGGGCAGCTTCAAACCATCTGTTATGATGCTGGCTTGTTAAACAAAACAGAGTTTGTTAGAAATTCCAATCCTGGGTTCACAGATGTCAAGAGGTTAGAGGAAAGCAAAGTCCTCCTGCTGTGCATGAGAAGGAGGATGGAATGCACTAGCCTTAGTCTTGCTTAGGCTCCCTCTACCTTGTGCATAAAGGGTACTTTCTGACTGAGGGTTCCTAGCTCTCTGCATTGAAAGCCTTTTGCAACTATTCCAATATTCTTTTTTTCCATGAATTTTCTCTGGCAAAAGGAAAAATGGAAGAAGCAGTGGGAAAACGTGGGAAGACTGTGAGCTGGAGACAGTGGCATCTGCCCCTGCCCCACATATGCACCTAGAGTTCTTTGAATGAATTGGGTGGCCAGTGCCATCCAAACCGTGCCCAGAAGCACCTTTTGCAGCCAGCCATGGTTGAGTATTACATACAACCTAGGCCATTATCAATTCAAAAATCATTGGATGGGTGAAGATTTTGTTATGTTTGAACAATGCAGTGTGAAAGGTGCAGTTTGGCAATCTCTTCCTAAGTAGAGTCCATCCATATTTAATTAGAACTAGTAGCATGTTTTTTATTTATGTTGGGGTTCCTTAAGAAGTCAATTTTTGTTTGAACTATTGGTATAGATTGAATCATTTGACTCTTTGTACTTGCCTTTATGACATCGTCACTTTCTTTCACATTTTTAGAAACAGAAAATTGCTGCTTTCATTATCAGTAAGATTTAAAGAACACACACACACACACACACACACACACACACACACACTGCTTTGATGAGGATGCTCACTGTGCAGAGAAATATTTAAATCCCAAGTTGAATCCTGGTCTTATAAATTATTCCCAGAACATTTTTGCTCATCTTACGCTAGTTTTGTACATGCAGTAGCATATATTTTCAAGTAAGCTGCCAAGCTATTTAATTTTTTAAAGATTATAACATTGTATTGAAATGAGAGTGTGGAAAAATCTTCACATAGGAAGAAGGAAAACTTTGCATTGAGGAACATGGTTTTAAGAAAATATAATACTTCCTGCAGGATGCTATTAAGTACCAGGCTGAAGGTCAAGTGATTTCAGTGAATTCACTGTAGATAAAAGCTAAACACTCCAAGAAGGGTACCATTAGATTGCAGTTTCTGTTATTGCTGTTGTAATGCTTTGTGGCTTTCTGTTTCCTCAAGAGACAGGAAGTTCCAGGGGGCGGCCTTTTATACTGGGTCAGTTTCCTTGCAGGAAGAAATTACTGGAGACATGGTGTGTTTTGTAATGTCTCATTTGATTGCAAAGATGCAGGTTAATCATGGGGAAACAGGCAAAAGCTCAGGCTGTAATGTCTATTCTTAAAAGCAGCATCAGTTTCCCCAGAAGCAAACGGAATGCATTAGCTCCCCTTCCCCAGCTACTGCTTCTAGCTATCTGCAAAACTTGAGATTTCTTTGTCTGCTGTGCTCCCAACCCCAGCTTGCCCCCCCCACCCATTTTCTTTGGTGCCTGTAAGCGATAGCTACCATACGTTTAAAGTGGTAAATGCTAATTTCAGCAAGTCTCTTCAACTGTCAATAGTTATCCATTTAAACGCACACTCATACATATATACCATATCTCTAGGGCTTTTAGCTAAACAAAAGATGGGAAAAGAAG